ATAATAAACGGTATAATGAATAGAAAACAAAACAATCTTGAAATTAATAAGCTAAAAGTTGACGACAAAATCATCGAAGACCCAGAGGAAATAAGTATTCTTTTCAATGAATCGACTTCATAAGCACATGAGAAGCTGTTAGAAAATCAAATAGTTACTGAAGATAAATTAAAAATAAATAGTGCAATCTGTAAATCAATGTATATGAACTCCACCAATGAAGAAGAAGTAACGTACATTGTTCAAAACTTAAGCAACAAAAAAAGCACGTCAGATGATACTTTAAGTAACAATCTACTTAAAAAAATCATCCCAGAAATTGTCATCCCAATCACTCATATTTACAATCTTTCCATCGTCCAAGGAATATTTCCACAATGCTTCAAAACATCCAGAGTAGTTCCAATTCACAAAAAGGGGAGCAAATTAGAGACAAGTAATTATCGACCAATATCTCTACTTTTTCCACTTTCCAAAGTACTAGAAAAAATAATTTTTGTCAGAGTCACCTCATTTCTGTCCATAAATAAATTATTAAATGATAATCAATATGGCTACAGAGCACAGCATTCAACTGAGCAAGCTGTGCTGCAATTAGCACAAAATGTTATGAATAATCTTAACGAAAAGATACTGACTGTAGGTGTATTCATAGACCTCTCAAAGGCCTTTGACGTCATCAACCACGATATACTGATTAAAAAATTAAATTCACATGGAATAAGAGGAAAAGTAAGTGCATGCTTCAAAAGTTATTTAGAGAACAGAGACCAGTATGTGGCAATAAAAAGTCACTCCTCAACAAAACTTAACGTAAGATCAGGCGTGCCACAAGGATCAATTTTAGGTCCTCTTCTATTCATAATCTTCATGAACGATTTTCAACATGCAACTGATGCAAATCACCTTCTATATGCAGATGACACTAACATCTTCTTCCCAACTAAAGACCCATTGAAAGAAGTAGAATACATCAATAACAGTCTTCAAAATATATCAACCTGGTTTATCAAAAATAAATTAATAGTAAATTATTCTAAATGTAATTACATTATTTTTGGTCCGAAAATTTTAACAAATATTATACCTAACCTAGACATAAAAATGAACAATATTTCTATTCCTCGCTCAACCAGCACAAAATTCCTTGGAGTAACAATCAAGGACAATCTTTCTTGGGATAT